ATCGAATCTCACAGGGAATTTAACACCCTCTCGTGAAAAAAGGTGAAATTTCCAATTTGATCGAATCTCCGGCCGCTTGTCCTTTAAACAAATATTATTGCGCATCCTATCTGATCGATTGGAAGTCCAAATTTATTTGCTTCACGTCCTTTTCATTTCTACAGTAATTCGTTTAATTTATAGAAACTCTTATAAATGTTATATTCAACAATAAACAAATGTAGATATATTATAGACATATTATAGTAGATACTGTTACTACTTTCTCTTTTTATTTCTCTCTCTTTCTTTTTTTGCTAAATAAATAATTAAAAAAAAAAAGATTTATTTGTGTATATGTTTACAGTTAATATGTTTTCTCAGAAAATAAGAGATTCTTTGTTTTCTGTTATATAGATGTAATTAAATAATCTCACATTCACTCACATACATATACACACACATATACGACACTTTCGCGGAGCGTCGATCGATACCATTTCTGACAGAAAATCGTAGAAGAATGGCTAGCAATTTCGCAAGTCCGACGCAAACCCATTGACAAATCGACATCTCGATCGCACCCGTTCTCGTTAACGACGAACGACGGCAAGACGAACTTCGCTCTGACGTTTCGTCGCGTCCTATCGACACGCGCGAATCAACGGGAACGAAATAAGAAGAAGTGAGAACACGGGATGAAGAAGATCCATCGATGCAGGCTCGGTATCTGCGTGAACGACCTTATCGGAAAGACATAAACGCCTGAAATCCCGGCCGTAAATTAGGATCCGGCAGAACGCGCCGGACTCTTGCTTTACTGTCTCTCCGCGTCTCGCCGGAGAGAGAGAGAGTCTAAGTTTGCGATGTGACGACCGTGTTTGGATGGATGCAACGCGTCGTTATCGAAAAATCAGACATCGACCGAGATAGCTCAGCCGGGCTAGCTATTAGGGAAGATAACAGTTTTACGACCCGGATTGAGACAAGCAACCAACATTGTCCGTCACGGAATATGTAAGTATATATATATGAAATTCTGAAAAGAAGAAAGAGCACATTTTTCTCGCGAGAATCGAAAAACAAACATCTCACGATTCGCGCAAAAGCACTTTGTGTCCATTACAAGAGTTAAAAATTTCGTCGAGTCTTATCGAAAAAGAGAATGTGAAGAGAGAGAATCCTCGCGCAGTTCTAACGCTGATCCTGACAGCGGCAAAGACCACAAGATTAATGACACGGTTTCGACGACTTTTTCATTCCTATTAACGACCACCATCGCCAAGTCTGAAGACGTATCTTTTACATATTCTCTGAAAATAGACACTTGACCGCCATTACGTTATCATAATGTGGTGGAACGATGAATAACTCTCGAGCTTTCATGTATTTCGATTTTGAAAAGATTATTCTATGATTATTTCACCAGAGTTACAACAGAATGTTTGATCAGATGAGTGCTTCGCGATTTCAAAAATATTTTCTCTCGTATATATTAACGCACTTACATGTACTACCAGGGCTAGTACAAGAGTTTTAAGAATTTTTTACGATCGCGCGGGGGGAAGGCGGTGAGGGGAGGGGATCGACGACGATCCTTCTCATGGTGGTTGCGGAGACGAGCAAAAGAGCCAGGTTTGATGGCAAGGTGAAGGGACAAGGGGGAGGGAAACGACGGTGGAGAGTCTATGCCGTAACAAGGGTGGCACGATTTCAAGAATGCGGAGCACGTTCTCAACCAATGCCGCCAGCCAGGCAGTAAAACAAATACGCCCTCCCTATATACGGGGTGTCCCAGTAATACCGCGTCTATGCGTTTTATCCCTCGCTAAACCTTCCTTTCTTCGAAGGCAGAACGCTACGAAGGTAAAGTCGACCTCGTTACCGATACGAATAGGGTAATGTACTGTGTACGTAGCGAGATCTTTTCATAGACCCCTGCGGGAAAGCAGGTTCTCGCAGCTCGAGCTGAAATTAACTCGATAGCGGAAGTTTCCTTCGCTATTCTTTCTAACGCCCGTTTACGAGCCTTCACTGACATGCGTCCCTCATTAAATCAGTTGCCATATCGAACATGTTTATATATATTGCAAATAACTTTTACACGGTAGGAAATTTTATATAAAATATAAATAATAACATATTTAATGTAAGTTTTTTTAAATTTCACAAGAAAATGTAAAAGAGATTATAATTTAAATTGAAAGTCAATACGAACCTATGTACGTGCAAATATATTTTTTTTAATGTGTAAATTAATACGTAGAAATTCGAATGAATTTCAATTAAAAAATTCACTTAAGATACTTGGTTTGCATCTTATAATGATTATTTATGTATAGGAGGTGCAAATAAAGCATTCGATATGAATTCTTGAATTGATTTTACAATTAGTTCGAATTATCATGTGTGTATTAACTTACATGTTTAAAAAATATACATCTTGCATATACATTCAGCATTTGGTTCTTGAGGTCTTTATTTTTTGATTAGTGATTAGGTCTTTATTTCTTAATTTGACATTTAAAAAAGTGGTTTATTAATATTTGTTAGATATTTAAATTAGTTTTATACTTTAGTTTTATAATATTTTGAAAAAAACATGTTGATTAATAATTATACAAAAAAATGTTTAACGTTACTGAAGTTTGACGTCATGTATGTGGATATCGATTATGACATAAAAAATTACTGCGTGCGCAGGTATTTTGTCTTCCATGTCAGATGGATTCTCGATGACCGAACACGCGCAACGGAGCGAATTGTCAGCAGAGAGGAGTAGTATGAAACAGCCGATAAAAGCACACAATGGCTGGTACGAGCGCGGAAACGCAAATGTCCTCTTTCAGACGCGCGTCCTCTTTAGAGGTCGGGGAGTGATGGACAGGTGAAAGAAGTGGCCAATGTGGGTTGGTTTCGACGTCTCATGTGACACACACGTCACTGGCCTTTGTTTTCGCGTTCTTTTGATTGAGTGCTGCGCGCGCTCTTTGTCCCTCGATTCAAAGTACCAATCCCTTTTATCGTTATTCTTCGTTTAACAACCGACAGCGCTTTCTCGGAAAAAAAAATATTGCAACTGCGCGTTGTAATTTTAACTGTCATTTATTATCGAAATTTATTTTATCTTTGCTTTCTGTACTTCAAACGTTTTTAAAATTTAGTTTATTTCAAATTTGACGTTACTGTTAAAGTAAATAATAATGAACGCGTACGCGAGTTAGCCGGGATCGATAATTTTCCGGAGTAACTATCCTATTACATAAATGCTCTATAAACAAGAAATTTCCACGCGGTACGCACGCGAGAATCCAACTATACCACCTGCTCTACATTTCCGATGCGCGGTTGAAGATCGTGATCCCGTTTATTCAGCGGAACCTGTTCCCACTCTGGTATTTGGAGCTCGTTGCTTTTCTCGAAAGTCTGATCTCTGATCTTCGCTCGGCCGGACCGCACGTGGATGGCACCGAGTAGCTGAACGGGGGGTCCGAATCTATGGACCAGTTTTCACCTGATATAGATCATGATCCATTTTCTACGACAGGAAGAAGAGGCATTACTTTTTGTAAGTTCCTGTTTAGCAAAACCTGTTCGTTCGCGTGGCGAGGTCCCGCTCTTGCTTATCCCGCTAAACTCTCATTCTTTGCAATCTTGTGCCCGTTTAGAGAACTGGTCCATCCGGCGAGACGAGAGATGCTGCCCCAACAACAATAGCCACTGTCCACTCGAACGTATACAAACATCAAGCCATAAAATGCACCCAGTTAGCCTTTGACTTTTATCACAAGAGATTCTTCCGGTCAGTTTCAACCGACCGCAAAAACTGGTCCAGCAGCAGTAAGGGGATGCTCCTCTCTCATTTTTTCTCTTTTTTCTCGCTGTCCACACTGAAGCTAATAAACGCGCAACCGCAAAATATCCCGTTGGCCTTTAACTTTTGTGCCTGTAAGGGTTGATGACGCTCCCCTTCACCAACTTGGCAATATTTTGAAAGCGTAAATTGGTGTTTCAAATAAATACAATCCTCTTAAAAAAAGCAAATAATATTTTGACAGAATTTGAGAAATGTAAAAAACTGTATAATAAACAAATTTTATTATTTTTGTGTACTTTAAAGAATTTTTGTTTGCACACATTACGATTATACTGATGAGAAAAATTTGATACCACTAATTTTTTACAATATTTATCTTTTTAACATACTCTTCTTTGTGTATTTCTATATTTGATTATTTAAAATTTATTATTGTAAAAATCAAATACAAAATTAATTTTGTATGTGAATCTTGAGTCTAACACTTTCTCAGTAAAGAGAAAACTTAAGCAGAGTAGATAACGCAGGAAACTATCATTACAACATATGGTAAATAAGCAAATAACAATCAAAATTATGTATTTGTAAAAACTCAATTTGTTAGTTTACTGTATATATTTAAAAACTTGCAATTACATATATTATGTTATATAAAAAATATAAAACTGTAAATATATTTCGTAAAAACATCTTTTCTTATAATTTATAATTGATGTGGGCAACATAATATTTATTTTGAGTAATAAAAGCAAAGTTTAGCAACAATTTTAAAATTTAAAATATTCTTATTAATAGTAGTATCTTGACTATACTAATACCAAAAAGTTTTAGAGACGTTATCTGCTGAGTAAATTTAAATCAGTTTCATAACACTTACTATAGATAATGTAGAAATTTTTAGACTTATTGTAGATAATGAAGATTCTAATCAGCAATTCAAGTTTTATCTAAATTAAAAACTTTTAAATTAAAAACTTGTAATTTGCAAATGTATGTTAGGACACAAACATCCTTTAGTAAAGTAGCATGCAGAATTAGAAACAAAATATTACACGTATTGAATATTTATATAGAAAACCGATAAAACATTTGTTGTCTTTTTGTTTCCAAGCAACCCCTCTGTCTCTTGCACTAGTGCACTTCGTATAGGAGATTATGTACTCAGTACAGGTGAAATGAGCTTGTAAAGTGATCGTTGAACTAACTTTGACACCTGGCTATCTTTTATCTTGAAATGCATGCATCGAATCCACATCGAACGTGCAACTCTTCACGAATCGTCCACCAAGAGCAAGTCAAATTGCAGAAGATCAAAGAACTGACGAACATCTTAAAGGTTTATGAATATTTATGAAAATGTCATAAATATTATAACTCTACAAAACTGGATAACTTTTATTATTTCCTGCGAATGGTTCATGGAAAATTCTAAGATTGCGTTTGATTTGTATACAGGACACGGACAAAAATCTCACAACATGCGAAGAAATTCTAGCTACTTATATAAAGAAACGATTGAAGGTAGGTGCAAAATACTCTGACATATTCCGAAACTTATTTTAATTCTTATTTTATTAATAATATTGACGCATTTACAACATATAACTCAATGAAATTAATGAATTATGATAATTATGCGAACTATGTGACACTTGCGTGTAGATAGCTGTATATTTAAAAAAGTATAAAAATAGATCGATACGCGTGAGTTGCTTTCCGAAAAAAACGAGTCGCATATCCTCCAACATATTACCATCCTTTGTACCAACCACCGTATAGCAAAGGCCAACCCGGATATATTCCATATCCGTGTAATCCATAATAATTACTTAATTTGCCGTACCTGATAAATTGAACGTATATAAATCAGAGCAGAAAGCTTAATCTGTTTTGGTATTATTATTTTGCAATGTTTGTTGTATTTTGTTTTTTACCACGGTAATATGGGAGTATAACTGTAGCTCGCCAAAGGCCAACCGTAACTTCTTTTCTCTAGTTTTTTTTCTCCAATTACGTCCTGAGCAATTGATTGAGCTGCGTAGGGCGTTGCTTGAAAAATGACATCCTTGTCTGTGAATGTTTTTTTGGCCATAAGAGCCTTAGCTCCAAAAGCCAAAATAATCAGCAATGGCAGAAGCTAAAATAATTGTCGACATATATGTGTACAGGACGAATAGAAATCACTATTAACAACTGAGACGCAAAATTGTAATTTAATAATTTATCTAACTGGATTAATTTATAACAATTAATCTTAACTGGATCTTCAAATGACTTATCTACGCTATATTGATATGTTCTTCGGTGAGAACTTGATAATTTTTAGTTTATGTTGTTTTGTATTTTTTTTTTTTTTAATTAAAATTTTGATGTATCAGAGCGAATTTACATTACTGAAAATTTTAAATATTTATTTTAATATTTTAAATATCTCCGAACATCTTCGCGCACAATCAATGTAATAAAAAAATTCGTATTTTAATTGTTATTATACACGAATTTATTTAGCTTACCAGCGGTTTCATATTATAAGTGTGACACGCACTAACAAACTGATAGTGTCCAGAGGGTTGACACTTCTTTTATACTGAGTTCCTCAAGTTGCAAGTCGTTCGCTGAATTTATGGTGAATTCTAGATTCGCCGGTATGCGCGTACGTATAACTAGCATCTCGACTGACAACTTCACAAAACCACTCCCATCTAAAGAATCATTAAATGACATAACGATGAGAAAGAAAGAACGCGCCAAATTATATCATTAGAAAGATTCATTCCTGCGGCACTTAAAGAATATACAAAAAAAAAACACAACTAAATAAATAAACAAAATAAATAAACTAGAATCTATTGTGCATTCTAAAAATCAAATGACAGTTTTTTTGATCTCTTTATCAGTTAACCTCGAGACAGGCGATATCTATTATATCTACGATTACTCAATTAAATTCTCTTCAAATAAGAACACGATCATGCAGAACAAGATTACAAAGTACGCACATAATACCGTGAAATCTTTATATGCAATAATCGACCTCGCAATTGTTAAACAATCGATTTCGTTCGACAATCCCCTTTTCGCTAAGTCACGCACTTGTCACATTAATCCGTAAAGTAGTAGTACCGCCTGTTTGACTTAAAATTCAAACTTATTATCGCTTTCTCTTATTCAGCATTTAGCACTTAAATGTCTAGGAATTAAATCTAATTAGCTAGACAAAAGGACCGTGTCGCATTGTGAGATAACGGCGTCGCCGGTCAAGTTTTTGCGTATTTCACGTATATGGTATGTTCCTAATTCATCTCGACTCGCGTAACATCGACCGCATACCAAGAACGTCGGTTTACGCAACTGTGAGCCCTTCCTTAAACGCGCAGCGCAAGTTTTTATTTTCACTTCTCCCTCGCGAATTGTCGTCCTAAGAGGTTTTATCGTCACCAGACTAGGAAATGGCGACTTTCTCTGAACCGGTTGTACATTCGTGTTGTCTACTTACGAAAGTCGCGTGGCTTAGGAAATATCTAAAGTAATGCAACGCGCGTGTCCTCGAATCGCGTGTCTACCTGCTCTGATACTCATCGATCGAATAACGAAAAATGATGCTTCAATCCCTCTTAACGTTAATTATTGTCAGTACTTTTCATAATAACATTATAAATTACCGGTTGTTTTAATTATTACAAACGATTATACAGACACATGTAATATAACTGAGTTTTAAGGAATTGCTCAAGCCAATACGTGACATTTTATGGTAAAATAAACATAATTAATGTGCGAAAGTACAGAAATTTCTAAATTTTGTGCAAATGTCTAAGTAATGTCTCTAAAACCTTCAGTTAGTATCATTATAAGACGATTTATATACCTATAAGTTACGTGTTGTGTATAGATAAGTGACTTAAGTAATTAATATCATTTTTTCGTCAATCTGACTTATAATCTCAATCGAAAATGACGAAAGTACATATCGCTTTAGTAATCGTGCTTCCTGCTCAGATTATGAATGTATGAGATTAAAAGGTTGTCGACCTACGTAAGAAAGTTTGTTATGAAAACCGAACTTTTTCTTGTATTAGCGATTATTGTTGGATCAAATACAAACGCTTTTATACTTATCAGACATGCTGTTGTATTTATAATAAAATCTAAGATTTACCGGTAGTAAATAGAAATTAGTTTTATGCTTGTATACGCACCGGTGAATCTCCTTTCACTTGTTTAGGAAAGAAAATATAAAGAAAAATATACGAGCGCAAACCTTTACAAATAAATTTGTTATAATTTTAATGCTTGATTTGATTGACCTCAAATTTTTATAGTATTTTTTAAACTTTACTAAGTTTTATTTAGACGAAAAAGGATTTAAGTATTTAACAACCATGCTAATTTTTTTATAATTTACCAATTTCTTTATTCAACAAAATATCTTTTTCTAACACATCTATATTGTTACAAATAATTGATTCTTTCGTTGTGTAGAGTAACTAAGAAATACAGTGTACATTTCCCGATACAGCTGTTCTCGGAATAACAATTAAACCATTGTTGAACAATCTATTTAAACTTTTTTTTTCATATAAATCGGTCACCGAGACAACGAAAAGCCAAGACAAATTCAGTACTGTTTCGTTTTTTTTCCTGAAAAAGTAGGAAATATTGCAACAGTTGCAACAACCGCTTTTACGCGTGCAATTAAACCACGAGAGAGTATTAACTAGTTAGAATCGAGCATAACTGCTTGATTTTTCGTATTCTTTTTGTTTAACGAATCGACGACTCTCGCGCGATCCTTGCTCGCTCGTTCGCGCGCATTGCATCGTGCCGCTTCAGTTGTCGCAAATCAACGAGTGGGTCCGTGCAATTCAAGAGAAACTCAACATTTCTTTCCGATATTATGCAAAAATTTATCCCCGCCAGTTAAGTCATTGTTTAACGATGTCTATGCCGCGGCAATTGGCCGGCAGTCCTCACAAAGTTCTGAGACACGAAGGTATCAAACGACTTGACTTCATATTGCCACACTATTGACTAATACCTTCTGTGACCTAACTATAAAATCAATCGTGACAACTGAGCAATATGATGCAACGTTATTGCACAAAATATAAAAGTGTGTAAATTTTCTACGTCGAACAAAGATTTATTTAAAAACTACATTAACTGTTTAATAATACAATCAGAAAAGAGTATGAAATATTGGAGTTTGCACGATCAAAAGTGATCTAATGTGCGTGGCATGCAAACGTTACTGAGTGTCGATTAATTAGATGCTTTTCCGAAAATGGATTTGCGTGTGCTTATCGTGAGTTTACTATGCGTCGTGCATGCGTTGGAAGGCCTACCATCGGAAAAAATCGTCGATCTCTCAAAGAGATCACAAAGAGAGATCGACGATAAGACTGACAGACAATCAACGGGGAATTTTCGCGACAAGAGAGCTCTCGGTCTTTTGCTGTCGGGTCTGGCTCAAATATTCGGATACACTGTGACTCCGATTCAACTCGCGTCACTGCCGAACCCGAACACAACGAGACCCGCTGCAATGTCGAATTCGTCCATGATGATGGGAATGATGATGCCCAACAATACGCAACAAGCTGCAGCGTCCCGACCTGCGAACGCCACTATGCCAAGACAGCAAGAGACCATAAGATTCACCGGTGTAGTGAATTTTGGCAACAACTCGGATATCATCGGGCATCTTCAGCGCTACGAGCAGATCTTTCACGGTCGCGGAAACAACACAATGATGATGTCGTCGCAACCCCCTATGCCTCCCGCGCCAATGTCTCCCGCGCCAATGCCTCCCGCGCCAATGCCTCCCGCGTCAATGCCTCCCGCGAAATTTTCGGTGGATCTAAGAACGAACGTGGAAGAGAGACCACCTCTGTTAGCGCCGTTCTTTGTGAAAATTCCACTGCCGATCGCGCCCGATCTTCCACCGGCCACGATGCCCATTGAGGATTTCCCATTATCTTATCTTGATCCGCCAATTTCGATCGTGAGCGTACCAGACGAAGATGCGGAAACAACGATTGTTCCTCCTTCCTTACCAGCACCTTCAACACGAAAGAAACCAGTTCACAAAGAAGAAGAGATGATTTACAGAAACAACGAGAATGCTGAACGATACATAATACAGGAAAAAGAAATCTACGACGAGAAGGATGTGAGAAAGCCGAATAGCAAGTATAACCATGAATTGTTCATCAACGAACCTAAATGGAAGCAGCAGCAAGAAGAGAGATATAACGATTTGCAACGTAATCAAGAAGAGCGCGTTGAAAGGCTCAAGGAAAAAGAGGAAGAAAGGAATCGTAACAAAAATGTGCATTATAAAGAAGAGATGAATAAGAGGTACAAAGATCGAGAAGAAGAGATCGATAATCGAAATCGAGACCATGTTTCAAAATATGAATCGGAGGAAGAAGAAGAACCAGTGTACAAGGACGCCAGCGACGAGAAGGAAACTGAAAATTCCTCCGAGGAAATACATGAGGAGCACGATGGTCGCGCGAATCTCCAAAGTGATGGTTCTTCGAAGCAATCATTGAAAGAGGACGAGGGAGAAAAAACCGAAGATTATCCAAATTACGAGGACGATGATGAACCTAATAAACAACCTCATGGATATAAGCAACCCGAGAATTTTGACAAGTATATAGTAATAGGATACAATCAACAGTTGCCAATCGGTAATTACTTTCACGAAGGTAGTCCTGAAGTAATTCGCGATAGTTACGGGAAAGTGCTGGACAATAAAAAACTGGAAGACGACAGACTCGCCGGTTACGTCAATATGTTCCAGCAACCTTACTTTGACTACAATGTGCAGAACGCTCACAATTCCGAAGACGCATCGAGAGAAGACAAAAAGGCAGCACCTGTGTCCGGTTATGATGCACATTTGGTTAGAGTACATAAACTTAGAGAAGAATACGGTTTGCCGGAGAATAAATACGAAGAATATGAAATAGAAGATGAAAGTGATGCGAATAGCGATGAAAAAGAGAACGAAAAAATCACACAGAATCACACATCGGCAAAACAGGACGGATCTACGACTGATCTTCGCAGCAAAGAAGATGGCGATGTGAGATCCGAACATTCAAAATCGCAAGAAGAAATCGATTTCGTCAGATACGTGCCCCTGGTTGTGCCCGTGCGTTATGTCGACACAAGCGAAAAAACACACGGAGAAAAACAAGCGGAGACACGGCAGTTAAACTATAAAGAATCGGACAAATTGACCAACAGCGAATCCGTTGACGATAACGTATCCGTGCCAACGCGGTCTAACTCGATCCCCAAAGTCGGTTTGCCCGGAAAACCGCGCCAGTTGCACGAAGGCGAGATTGACAAACAATTGCAATTATGGCCGCCGCCTTTCGATTACGTTTTTGACACCACGGAACCGATGAGCACAGTCGTACCACCGAATCTTCCGAATTATTATCAACCTATAGTAAAAACTATTGTGGCAAATAACGCGAAGAATGACAATTCCATAGAGCAACCTTCCGGTTATCTGGTGGTCGTCGGTGATCCGAATCGTTATCAATATCCTTATAACGTTTATTACTTTCCCAATGAAGCCGTAGATCCGCAGCACCGAGATCTCTATACGAACATCAGAGACGCGCAAAATCAGGTTTACATTCCTCAGCAAAGCGTCAATCAACAGCTCGTCCAGTTGAATCCTAATCTCACTAAATACAATCTGAATGAGACCGCAAAGAGTTCTCAGAACCACTATCACCAGTCTCAGGGAGTCCCAGTTAACGTTCTCGGTCCTCGTTACTACGTTTCTGGAGACAGACCTCGAGCTGAGGGATCATCTAACATTGACGTCAGAAATCAAATTGTTGACATCAATAACTGGTCGAATAAGATACATCAAGCAGGAAGTGATACGGACGAGCAGAATGTCGCGTTTTCAAATCAGAACGCCCAAAGAATATTGACGGAGAGATCGCGTAATATACAATTATCGAGAAGACGAAGAAATTCTCAGCAAGAAGATAAAAAAGAAGACGAGAACGACAAGAAGGAAGAGACTACATCACAGCAACCGATCCCAGAAAACAAATCTTTCGATGATCCGGAAAGCGCGCATGACTTTTTCGGTTTCAACAAAGACGATTACAGCTTCGAAGGCGAGAGCAGCGATGCGTTGGATGTTGAGAAGAAGGATGACAAAACCGCGATGGAGCTGTCCACTGTACCGGAACCAATCACCCATAGCCATGACGACGAAAGTATGATGAGAGATAATGACGAACTGGAAAACGATCCGGAGAAAGTTGAAGTCACGGAATATCGAAACAAAGTGGCGACCTTGAAAGTATCGGAGCAGAGACAATCGGAACCGAACGGACCGATTCAATACGTGAACTTTATACGTAATATTTAATTGCGGCTTTCTACGAAAAGAACTAGAGAAATTTATTCTAGTAAAATATAAAACAATTTTTTTTTTAGATTATAATGTTTACTTTATTTTCAATATAAAGTGCATTTTATTGTAAAATTAACAAGATATAATAATATGTATATGAAATGTATAATTATTCGTCATAATGTATTATATATAAATATTTGTTAAAGATATGCAATTTTAAATTTTTCTTTAAATTACCTTTTGAAATATATTTCCCAATGCATATGCACATGTATATGTGTATTATATTGTTACGTCCGGACCGTGATTTCTCTTAGAGTAAATGACCACTCAAAGAATTCTTATAAACACGCGCTTTATTCACAAATTTATAGAAACTCGTACAAAGAAATTATTCAAAGAAATTTTCCCGTTGTCCGAATAGCTCTGATCTCTATTTAAATTTATCGCTTGAACTTCGAATCAACAACGACAACAACGCGTTGCCATCTACTTTTTTCTCAAAGTTGCTCCTCTCATCGATCGATTGACTGTCATTTCTTTTTATCAAATGTCGATACAAACTATTCCGCAACATACACATATATGTATGTATACGTATGCTATTTCTCTTGATAAATGCCATTACACATAAAATACTCTGAATTTAACTTATAGTGTTTCACACATCGTCCTCCTATATAAAAAATTCATGTGTACCGCGAAGTGCGCGTTTTGATATCGAATGTATCGCATCTATTGTTGTCTCTTTTCCGCGTTATCGATTAGTTGGTTGATCGAGTCGAGTCGAGTCGAATCGAATCGGTAAGATCGAGAGAGTAAATAATGACAGAAAAGCGATTTTGACAGTTCGTCGTATACGTGGAGAAAATTAAAAACGTGACTAAAGTAAAGTCACTTGACANATACGTGGAGAAAATTAAAAACGTGACTAAAGTAAAGTCACTTGACAGAAAAGAGTAGAAAAACAACACGTGACTATTTAAAGTAACGTGATTGTAATTTATATTATATATAACATTAAATAATATATATTATACATATAATTTATTATATGTATAATACTATATATATAGTATACAATATAAAGTATAATATTATAGTTTATATTGTATATTATATATATTATGTACATACTACCGTAAGGTCACTGACCTCGGTCGCGCGACCGTGGTGGGGGGGGGGTCACTGACCCGGTCGCGCGACCTTGGTGGGAGGGTCACTGACCTCGGCCGCGCGACCGTGGTAGGGTCATTGACCTCGGTCAATTTGTCTCTTAAAAGGAAAGCAGCCACTGTCGTACGTGTACTAGCTGTCATCGCGGTGACATGTTGTGTCTACTGACGGAATATGTTAAAATAAAACTAATAGCGTGCGCGTAGCGCGCGTCTGTGATGTGCTAGTTATAATAAAAAATAGTAAATTACTTATAAGTTTATTAATGTAATATTATTGTATTGTTGATATATGATTACAGGAAAAAAGAGAAGAAATACAAAGAAAAAGCGAGTTGGAAAATAAAATGACCGAAATTTTGGAAAACTTGAAGACTCGATTGTTGGTCGAATAAGTGTCGTATATCTTAAACTAACACATATACACACATGTATTATATATTTTTATTCTATAGTTTTCTATAAATGTTAAAAAAAGAATGTTTAATATATTATTATTTTTACATTGTTATTACGTAATGTGATTTTTTTGTTTTAAAAAAAAAAGTATAATTCACGTACCCCTTGTTAATATAGACAACTTTCTCTTTTTCTCTTCCTCTAATGACTCAGAATTTTGCTTTATCCTTTTTATAATAAAAACATCTATAAAGTGCATTTTGCATAAGTACACACACTATTTTAGTTTACAATATAAATCTCTTACAGTTTATCAAAATACAGTCACAGAGTTCGTTCCGTTTCACGCATATGCGCGCATTTATCTATAGTATACGTCACGTATAGTATAGACAAATGCGCGCATATGCGTGAAACGGTACGCAGCTTAGGCCACGTTCAGCAGACTGAGCAGATCAGTGAACGCTTAGTGATTCTTTAATATGATTGAATCTTGCCTTTAGATCTTAACTGGATCTAAGAGTAGAAACCAATCATATTGAAGAATCACTAAGCGCTCACTGATCTGCTCAGTCTGCTGAACATGGTCATAATATTTTCATATGATTTTCATCATGTGTCCAGAGAGAGAGTGATCCAGTATCAATAGTAATAAGGATCTACAATCTTTTTAAAGCAGTGTATAAATAAGTTATTTCGATATATGTGAATGCACATATAAGTAATAATTACATTGTGAATTTCCGTGAATTTTGCGACGTGTGCAGAAGTTTGTGTGTGTATATATATATAAAAGAAAATGTCTTCAGCAATTATAGAGGAATGTCTTCAGCAATTAGGTGTAGGAATTCGACCTGTAACCGATTCCTTCTTTGACGAGTCCTATGAGGTTTGTAGGATATTTCAAAGAAAAGGTGTCACGATTGATGACGAAGAGGAATTGTGCCATGAAGTGTAAGTGTGGCTTTTCAAGATAGTGATATAACCTTAAATATTCTTTCTTTCTAACTAAGAGTTATTAAAAGAGACTTATTTGATCTTGCTTTTGCCTACAGTACTTGTGTAAATTTAATTTAAAATATTAAAAATAATTTCTTTTTTCCGCATTAAGGATAATTTCTCTTTCAGTGTTAAAGAATTCCAATGTTATGTCCCAGGATGCAAGAAAACCTTTCAGATATTATTTGATTACGAGATGCATTATAATAGTGCTCATCGATACTCTTGCACACAATGTAAAATATCCAGACCAAATCCACGACTTTTAGAAATACACATACACGAAACACATGATGCTTTCTTTAAGGTTATGTCTGAGAAACAACCCATGGTATGTATGTAAATATTTGGTATGTTTACAGAATATATATCTCAATATTAGTTCTTTATACATACGTGTGAAGTTTCACTAAAAACAAATTAAAATTGATTGTTATTTCTAAGTTTAATGTTTTATTGATATGTTGAATAACATCTACATATAAACTTTCTATTTTACAGTATCAATGTTTTGATTCTGAATGTGATATAAAATTTAACACTCCAGTGGAAAGAAGAGAACATTGCATCAAAATACATAAGTATCCGAAAAAGTATCGATTTGATGACACATCAGTTTATAAAAAAGATTCCTCTCATAAAACAACAAAAATAGAAGTTGATAGTGTTGAATCGAATAAAATGGCAGTTGATACTATTGAATCAAATAAAATGGTAGTCGATACTGTCGAATCGAATAAAATGGACGTCGATACTGCTGATATCAGCAAAAAGAAAAAGTCAACTAAAATATTCTTAAATAAAAATCAAAAAAGTAAAATGTTCACAAAATCTGCCAGCACTGCTGTTTGTATAAGTAGTGTAGAAACAATTCCACCAACTACTGTTAAAACTAAGGCAACACCATTGAGTTTTATTCCCAGACAAGTACAAAAATCATTTTCAAAAGTACTTACAAATAATCAAAATAGAGAAAAGAATGTTTTGGAATCAGAGACTATGATGGAACTTGTAGATTCTCTACCAAATAGTTGAAAAAGGAAATTAAGAAATTAACATTTATATTATAAATATAATAATTATATTTATAATATATATTGTATATAAAAGTATAAAAATGACTTCTAAGTATAAAAAATTTAAGAGTATATTTTTTGGATTTATTTTAAGAAAGAAAGATTCTATGAATATATGTCCTAAAATATTTTATTTTCAAAATAGAGTGTTAAGATTGAGAAAAAACATGAAACTTTCCAAAAAGTGAAAAAACACTTAGAGATATTTTATTCAAATAAAATGTGCATGTGATATTAATCCTAATCTTGTAACCCTCTAACATTAATGTTTGAGCAATTTTTGAAAATGAGATATTTTAAAGACTATTTAGTAGAAATTTCTATCCTCTTCTAAAAAAAGTTGTAATGGAGGAAAATCGTGGACAGACGTAGAAAGGACGGAGATCAGCAGCAGTGTGTCACAGAATGCCAAGCAATAAAAGTTATGTTTGGACATGAATGTTCTACGTTTACAGGAAACGGTTAAATTTTTAAAGTAAGTTATTTGAAGTAAGTATTTTTGTCGTCTTTATTTTCGTTTTTTTTTTTTCACTTTTTTCGTTTTACAACGTAAAAATTTTTTAGTTTTTCTTTTATCTAAATAAAAATGTCAGTACGCACTCCAGAAGAGGTCTTAATTTCTCTTTGTTTCCGAGAAAGAAATGTTTATGTTGGTGGAGATCTCAGCGAGAAATTAAAAATGTATTTTTGTATTATTTTCGATAATAAAAATCTTTTAAACTAAAAAAATAACATGTGTAAAATCATTTATTTACTTATCTTACATGTGCAAAAACTGATATTTCATATATAAAAACGAAACATTTATAATTTCGCGATACATATGGTGTACTTTTTTCATAAAAATACAAATGTTTAGACTCTTATTTCTTGTTAAATTTATTTCATTTTATTAATTTGTTTAAAAGTATCAATTTTTTTTAATTCTTCGATCTTATACACATACATTTTTCGGTATATATATAAAAAAATAAAAATAAAAAAATACCAAGCTTTATGTTATTTAGATGGTGAATAAAGCTCCATGAGTTTTTACAGATTTTTTGCAACGTTTTAACCAAAAACATATCGCATCGGACATAAATAGTTACTGTTGCGTATCATTTTTTTAATTCAAATGCTTCAATTTTCTTTTGAAACAATCTCTTCTTTAGTAAAAAGTGAAGTCAGTTTTAATTTCAAATTTTGAATTCAAAAACAATTAACCGCGTTTTAAACAAGCATAAGAGTTTTCGTAGAGTTTTAGTTTGGGATTTTAAAAACATTATTGGAAAAAATAAAATATAAACTAGCGTATCATTCTTTTATTAAAAATTGATATATATATGCACAAAGTTTTCAATAAAATATCTCTAAGCAATCCTAGATTTTCGAAATTTTCATATTTTTTTCTTAATTGTGACACCCTATATTTTTAAAACAAAGTACCTTAAAGCATGTTTATAAGATTTTTTCTTCAAAAAATAAGCCAAAAAGTATTTCTTTAAAGTTTTTACTTATTTAGGAATCACTATATATAATTTTAGTAACAGATTTTTTAAATTTTATTTGGCAAACTTATATCTACGAAATTTTATTATACTTAGGTTTTCTTTACAAAACTTGACAAAAATTGTATCAAATATATACTTTAAAATATACAAACTACAACAATTTTATTTTGTGTGTTTTTACATTCGTTGTCTATATTAATTAGTTTAATGTTATCAAACAATTATTGAGCATTATGCATGTAATATTAAAAGAGATAGTTCTGTAACGTTTAATCTGTTTCTTTGGGAAAATAAATCTATGTACATACATATAATTTATAATATATATTATATATAATATATGTATTATATGGTCTTATTCAGTCTTATTCAGTCTTACAAATATATTATCATTTAATAAAATATGTATGTTTTAGAAGTAAAAAAATTATATTAGAAGAAACTATATAATACAAATATTATGGATATTACAAAGAGAGAATAATCCTCTATAATTCCTAATTAAATAGCGTATCTGTACTTTACTTATATTTTAAAGTGAACTATAATGCATATATTGCTCGAGTTTGTGCTTCAACAACGTGTTTTCTTGTTCCAAAAAGGCTACTCTTATGGCAAGTTCATCTTCCTTCGCTCTACGAGCATCTCTGGAACGCTTTGCTGCTTCATTGTTTTTTCTTCTTTTTTCAAAATAAGTAGAGTCTTTTCCGTCAGTAGTTTTTTCAGCGCAGGTGGACGCTGCACTGTTGTTTTTATTGGCTCGTCGCATTTTCGGATTTGGACCATCCTGTATCTTCTTAACGCGTTCCATCATTGAAGCTCGAAACTTTTCGTAGTTTCTATTGGAATCGTAATCGAGCGTAGAGTAGGTTGGATATGGAAATGAAGTTTTGTGCAATGGATAAGCCTTGAAAGGTCTCGGTAGCTTTCTGTGTGTGTTTGCTGACGTTGGCATTTCTACGGACGGCGGCGAGGTTGGTAACGTCATTGGAATCGCCAATGAAGCTTGTCTCATAGCTTCATTCGATGGCAGAGGTAATGATGTTTCCGCATACGACATCGCGGTTGCTGCTACAGGAAACCGCATTATGACCTCATTATCAGGCAATATTGGCGTGCGTAAAGTTGTCACCATTGTAGTATGCGGAGATGAAACAACAAAACTTGGTAAATTCACATGGCTGTTGCTGTAAATCACCTCGTTAACTGCTTTTGTCGAGTCCGCTTCCACGGGAGACGGAGTCAGTGTTTTATTAGTGTTTCCCGCTGCGATGACTTGCTCGTCAAACACTGAAAGACATGGTTGTTGATACGGATAATGATATTGTGTAGCTATACATTTCGCAGTCAAATCTATATAACTGGTCTTTGTTGCATCCGTAGTTTTGTTTGTTTGTAAGATTTTTGGTAAATTGTGTGTTTTACACGACAAATCTAGTACCGCTTCATTGACAGCGACTTCGCTTTTTGCTTCTCCGTGCTCGCACTCATTTCTATTGGTTTCCATCTGTTTTGTCATCTGTGATTAGCAGCTCTACATAATTAAACTACAACTGTTAATTAAGTGAAATTTTCCTACTTAAAAAAAATTATATATTTTTTATTCTAACAAGAAAGGAATAAATAAAGAATGATTTTGTGTCAAAGAGATCACAAATCAGGAAAATATTTCGCACGTTAAAATGTATAAAAACTACAAGATTTACTTACGTTATTCAAGCTGTTTTTTAAATTTTACAACTCTGTACGTAATTGCTGTGACGAGCTCATACTCTGAATATCATTTTTCTCTGTGTTTTTAAAAACTTCATATAAAACTTCCACAAAAAGGAAAGCTCGCGTCCTAAGGAATAAAAATATATGCATGCCATATATAGATTACATGCTGCATTTATTAATGCAAAATAATGCAAGTAAAGAAAGAAGTTATTAGTCAAATATGTTCTATATTGAAAGTGCATTTGTATAAAAACATTCTTTTACTTTGACATGAATTACACTATTTTCTCGTTCTCATCTAACATAATTGCTGATATCTAATTCTTCTTATCTGATGACTCAAGTGTCTTTACAAATAGAATCATTTTCTTTATGCTATCACTTTCTATCGATATCGCGCTTATCTGTATAGGTATTGAAGTTCTATATAATATTTAAAGAAGTTTGAAGTTTTTTTCTGAGATCAAAAGAGAAAAACCAATGAATTTTGCAATTATTATCTCATATTATTATAGCATATACTTTTCTGTTTAAAACGCGTCATACGAGACAAAAGATCCCAGAAGTCACTGCGCGACAAACTTGTTTTTATGTAATAACATAGTAATAACATAGTAATCTTATAAAAAAATATGCAGGCTTTACTTACTAATTCATGCAATAAATCAAAATCACTCAATCACAACACTATGACGATAATTGTTTTTGTGTATTATTTCTGATTTGCACGACTGCTTTCGTATGAAAGTTCACTTAGAAAAAAAAAACGAAAAGGATGTTATTCCTTCGAAGGTCAAAACATTTCTAATTCTTGAGTTTGAGGGTTGCATCTTTCTGATCCGCGCGCGCGTTTCGGCTTTGCGGGGTTGGACAGTGAATCACGAAGTGGGGGCAGTCCTTCGAAGCTTGTTAACGCACGCCCTACGATGGAAATGCATTATGAAATATTTTTTCAATGAGTAAGCGTTATGTAACATTTGAAGGTTTTGTCAACATTAATTTTAAACACAAGTCACAGGTCACATAATTGATTTCAATTATATTATAATTAAATCGGCTAAAATCAATGCATTTAATCAATTACGTGAGATCAGTGACGATTAACATAGAACGATTGTACGTTCTTTTTAATGCGTTTATAATTGCGAGAAGCGATGGAACTCAACAGTTGAGAGATTATTACTCGCAATGCAAGGACCTATTTCCCGAAAAACCTAAAAATATGATCTAATCTAAGTTCACTATCTGTATCGATTTTATTCACACAGTTCTAATTTTTAATCTTCCGGTCCAAATATTTTTTCAGTTCTGATTGCTCCGATTTTTTTTGGTCGAATTTGTCCCAATATAATATAATAATAATTCGCTCGAAATATTAACAAATAAATAAATAATACAAAAAAAGGTCTATATCAAGACTATTTTGATATTGTCCTGATATGTTCCGAATTTAAATTTTCTTGTCACATGGAAATTTTCAAAGATCAAAGAGTAAATTAACAATATTCTTGTTGATATTATAATATTATGAAGAAAATTATATAAGACCAACTTTAAGTCTTCTAAATAAAATGATACCGTCCGTTCAATTACATAAAAGTGATACATGAATATGTTCACGTAAAATAGCAACTAAAATCTTGACAGTGGCAAAAAATGCAATGAAATAATCAGACATTTTAAGACAAATGATGTTCTATGTACAAATGTGCTTAAGTCAGCAGAAAAAATAGTACCTTCCAGATCAATTTTATCTTTCAGGAACAAATGGTGCGACAGAAAGTCATTATTTTCTCAAAGACAGACAGCAAGAAGAAAAAAATACACAAAGGAAGATTTTTTTAGTACTTTTTTAATTGAATATAATGTGAATTAGTACAAAATGCAATTAAGCATAGAAACTCTGAAAGGAATATTAATAACACAAAGATAAACTACAACAAAACTTGTATTGAAATGTTTAAATACTTGTATAGTTCTGAGTGATAACTTCCCAGAGTGCTCACATATTTCTTTTCTTTCTTCATCTCTGGTTTATTTTTTCTTTCTTGTTTTTGCTCAAAAATGCAGTATTCTAAAATTGGGGACAGAAAATATGATAACTTTTATTTAATCACAAGTGATAATCTCTTACGTAGCTTGACGTCAAGCGTACATGTACGCCTTAATGAATGTAGTTAATTAGCATTATCGTGTATTTGAGACAAAAACAAAAAAGAATATGATGCATTTTAATTAACAGTATGGCATTCGTTGTGAGTTTTTATTTAAAACGAGACGTCTCGTACATTGATGCTTCGCGATCACGCCAAATTTAGTCGTTTCCTGCCAGTTAGAGCGTCTTGTCATCTATCAAAAAAGCACCCCGGTGCTCAATTCACCGCACCGCCTTCTTTCATGTATACAAATTTTTGCTCTTTTGCCTGCATAACCTACATTTCTATGGTGCGTCCGCAAACGGTCGCAACCCGTTATTTACAATCTTTTCCAAAAACCGCCGGTCCGAGCGACGGGTGAATGAGTTTGCTATTTACATCTGTCGCACCCCTTATAGACGGACATGTGCATGTGCTTGTAACGGTATCGAATGGACACGCATCTCTATTTCCCGTCACTTTTCCCGCAAAAGTGACACAGTCTATGAATATTCGTGAGATGTAGCGACTGATAATTGTTTCAACATGCTGACGTAAATGATAAAGACACCGGAGTCAAATTAGATAAAGAAAATTAAATGACAAAAGAAGTGACAAAACGAGACGGAAAGAAAAAAATAAGTAGTAATCCAAATTGAAATGAACTTTATAAGCTGTAATTTGGCGGTGATAGTAATACTAAATATTAGTAAATGTAATCCCAAGAACGTTAGAATGTTTTGATCATTTTTTCAGCAAATAATCATCTTCAACTAATCTATATAAGTAAATTAACATGTTTTGTCCATATTTAAAAAAAAGTGTAATAATACTTGTACTTGTATTTATAAAAAATATGTTGTTACATTTGTTGTAAAAAAAATAAATAATGTAAAATTGTAATCGATAGTTAGTTGTCAAAAAGAACTACACAACGATGAAAAATAAGTAAATACATTTGTATACAAAGAATATATAAAAAAACAAAATTTCCGATAATAGAAATCACTACCTACTGACTTATTCGTTTCTTCCGTTTCATAAAAGCGTTTTTTCGTTCTTGACAACGTTCTTATTCTCCTTTCATCATATTGACAGACACGTTCTCGTATTTCGAGAATATGAATTTTATTTCTCGTTTAAAAGTTCTTCTTTTGTAGCTCTAATGAAGATGGATCTCTTGGGCGGGCAATCCTTATATGCTTCACACTCAAAATGTTACACTCAATTTTTGATTTATATTTTTATTTGTACTCCATACAATGTCATCATGTTACATTTTCAGTAATTTTTCATCAAGTCCGATACATTTGTTATTAAACGTAATACATATTTGTCATAAAATATGTCATAAAATTTGACCTTTTTTTCTTTGTTTTATCTGTTTGTCTGTTTCTCTTTATCTTACGCGCGCGCGTAAGTCTACACATATACATATAATATTCTTAAAAGTGTAGAAGAAAGCAGTTTAGCCAAACTGCGACAGAGGAACTCTTTGCAGAACAGATTGCGTGGTGTCAGGTTTCTAAGCCGAAGGTAAAGAGTTGCACGACACGAAAAAACGTTTGTTCGTGAGTTGTTTGAAAGGTTTTCGAGAGCATGATGGTCATTTAAAAACTCTATTTGAAAACTTTCTTTCAACTTTGTTACCGTTGTCAAATCAGTTCGTTGTGTTGGAAGATTCTTTGTGTATCTATTTTTACAAAAGAAAAGATATTTTCTATTTTAATTATTATATTCGCGAAGATACACTTACCAATCTTCACCGATGTTATTGTCATACTAAATATATGTATATTTATGATATTGTCAGTAATATACTTATATATAGAAAAGTAGATGTTTCCCAACCAAATACACTTCCGGCCAACTCAATATCGAATATTAAAAAAAAAATTAATTATTAACTCATATTTGTCAAAAATAAAAAAAAAAAACATATATGAGAGAAGATAAAGTTAATTCAAGACAAATTTCATAAATTTGCAATCGTAAACTTTTCAAGTTTTGTTGTCAAATTAATAAATATTAGTTAAGTAATATAATTGACATAAAAAAAGTTCTTAGATTGTAAATTAAAAGTTATACAAGTGACGCGTTCCACGTCAGGTTGAGAACCGATCTCCAAAAACACAGAGATATTGGTCAGCATGTCATATGGTCAATAGTCTCTGGACGTGTAGGCGGATGAAAGTTCGAGGGTACAGATGCAGAAGTTCATACCTTTCGACCCTTCAATAATTCGGCCGGGAGAAGACTGAGTTCCAACCCTTTCCCCCCTTAGGGAAAGAGATTTCCACGTTAGCCTGCTATTGTCCATCTCCGTTACGCATACAGCTCGCGGAAAAACGTGAAAGCATCAAAATGCAGATGCATCTTTCAGGTAACGGTAAACGCGGTGGTCACGGTGTTCTAAAAGTGTGTCAAAGGGCTGCAATTTTCAGGGCGAAGCCACTTTCACATCGTGACATCCATGTCCGATATTTCAATCGATCATGGGAGATACAGAAATCCCGATTGTTAACAATCTTAATACTATCTTTAAGACTGGTTAAAGAGAGTCGTATATTATAAATATATACTAATTTCTATTTTACAAAATAGTGATTTTATATGCACTATTGCCAAAAGAAAGAAATGAATCGTTTAAATCTCGTCATGTTATATACATTTTTATTGTATAATCAAATACACATTTGTTTTCAACATTTTACGATTGTTTGTTGTTGTATATAAAAAAAACTTTTTAAAATGTAGATCAATAAGAAAACTTGTTTGAAAAAAATAATTTGGAAATCAAGTATTATATTTATTTTTATCATAAAAACTGTACATAGTTAATAAAATAATAATGATTTTGACATGTACAATAGTACATCATGTTCTAACGCAATTCGATGTAACACACTCTGTGTTAGTAAGTAACAATTATAGACTATTCACGTTTAGATACATGTGGCAGGTCGTATTTACCACGCACGCATTTTATCTTAACACCAGGTGTATCTCGCAGTCGTCCATTTCTGCAGAGCACTATGTTATGTTCTTGTAGATTGTGTCCTTCCCCTAAAATAAATTTAATTCGCCTGCTTTACAACACGTTACGTGACGTTCCGGCAGATAGCACACGTGTAAACGTGACAATAAATGTGTTTATAAATTATTGATAAGTCTTACCAGGAACATACGCAAACATCTCTTTACCGTTCGATAACCTGACAAGAACGCATTTTCGATTCGCAGAGTTAGGTTTTTTTGGTTTTTTAATGAGAGTTCTTATTACGACACCTTTCATGAATGGTTTACCATCAAGAGGATTTGTTGATTTTTTGCGCTTTATATACGGTCCATTCTTATGTAACTTCCACAATGTAGTACGTAATCTTATTTGACTCAATCCTGCGAGAATAAATTATTACGTATAGAGCTATTTAGAAAAACAGTCAGTAATTATTTGTATTACTATTTGTGTGTATTTTCACACACGCTTGAAAGAACCGTGCTTTGTCATTTAAATTATTTACAAATTAACACAAATATTGCAACTTACATAATGCATGTGCATATACGATTATTACATTTCACGGAAAGCATTACTAAAATTCTAAAATTCTTCTTTTTACAATCTTATATACAAGTATAAATTATCACATTGTTATCATATATTTTATTAAAGTTTATTAAAATACACTTAAAACCACTTAAAAAATTGATTCATTTTTTTAAATTATTATCTAATAAATTGTTCAGTAAATAAGAATGTTAATCTTTGTGCGGTAGAGTTTTGTGAGGTCTTTAAAGACGTAAGAATTTTTTCTATAAAAACGTATTCTGTCAAAAGATTCTTTAAGAAGAGTGTGTCATTTATGATTCATTGTGATTTTTGGGAAAGAAAAAATCTTTTTTCTTATGTTTTTTTACGTCGCAAAGGAGATAATGTATCAAATGTTGCATAAAAGATTCATTTATCACTACAATTTTAACTTCAAGAAAAACAAGTCATTGTATATTTTGCATATTTCTTTTATGAAAAATTTGTTTTTGTCAAATAATAATATTACATTGTATACGATTACGCTAAACTAATTTATTTACATTTGTATATAAATTAGCATATAATGATATATAAATCATGTATGTATACGTCAAATATTAATATATGTAACATTATTTATGTAAAAATTTATATATAAAATGTTTATATGAAACATTCTCACACATATAAATTTTAAATGTACATTAAAAAATAGCAAATTTCTATTTTACTATATTTTGAAACATTAAATATCTACACAAAGAAAATGCTCATTAAACGAGTTTTCTAAATTCCGAAGATAGAAGCTATATAAGAGAGCAATCTAGAGTGAACAAATAATCGTTTCCTCCTGAAAACTGAACGTCACAGATGACGTGACAATATTCAATTCGTTGCTAGGTGATGCTAAGCTCTCCGACGTATCACGCGGTCAGGTCAGTATACAAAAGAACTTATTGTTGTTCATTTCGAGTTGACCAGCGTCCATCACTGCGACAGATGTCCAAAGCTAATCCATCCTAACATAGGATTCGGAAAAGGAGAAAGACGGAAACCCTTTTCCTCGAAAGATGAATGCGCAAGATTACGTTGCGAAATTTTTAGGTCCTTGCTATTGCGCCTTTGTTGCATAGTTCCTACTTTTTCTGGCCGCGCATATATACGCACACCCGCATATAATTAAGGTAAAAATTTCTTTCTGAACGACTACAGCTTTCACGACTGAAAAAATACGGATTTAAAGATTCTTTGAATAATTTGCCCAAGCACGCGTGAGTACCGTAGGTATTTCAAGAGGTTTAAAAAATATCAAGTAAACCGATTTGTCGCATTAAAGTAGTTTTTAACGTTTGAGAGATTGTAATTTGAATGTTGCGAATGAAAGATGTTAAAAACATATATAACACTCGTTGCGAGATAAAAAAAACTCGCTCATATAACATTTGTATAACAGAGAATTTATAAATTTGACGATACGTAATAGTATATCTCAAATTCTGATAAGAACGTCGTTTGTGCGGAGTCTCATGAATGTCACGTGAATAGGTGATGGGTCTGTTCTTTGTATAGGGTCGCGAGAAAAGCGAAAGGGGAAAACACGCGAAGAGCGTTCTCGTGCGTTCGAACCCCTCAATGACAACTGGTCAACCACAAATGGACACGTCACCCCCCTCAATTCCCAGCGATTTTCGCTATTGGTCACAACGGCATCGTCTTTACGCTATACGAGCCCTTTCTTGCGAAGTGCCCGAATAGGTCCCTTTTCGTATATTTCGAGAGATCTCTCCGTCTATGGGAATCAAAGAGGTGAGGGAGTATTTTCGCAGTGGTAGAATGCTGCATGTGATGGGAAATTTGGACGACTTTCTTAGGCCATTTCTCGGCGGGTTCACGAAAATCACCGGGATGGGTGTCTCTAACAAAGACGTCTGTGTAAATTTTCAACAAGAGAGTCCCTCTTCCTCCCACACACACACACACACACAGTTATACGTAACAAACACATAGTTTTTCGTATAACATGACCACATTTTATCAACATGTTTTATTTCACTTTTTTGATTCTCAAATATTATTTTTCTTTTTATTATATTACGTATCAAATGATTTTTATTCTTTGTTTGTATATGTTCAAGTTAATAATCTATTATATAAAGTATAAAAAATATCAGAACCTTGAAACCTTGTAAAAGAGAATGAGTTTTAGAAAAAAATGCTCCATATAAAAGTTTTAAGTGGTGTCTTATAACAATGTTAGTGATAAGGTAACAAAAATTATTTTGAAATTTTTTAATAGAAATTTCTAATTTTGATTGTATATTTTTTATAGCTAACCTCACACACACACGCAAAAGCTTTTTATATCAAACTAAACACTATAAATTTTCTTAATTTAAAAAATATATAAATATAAGTTATATTTATGCTGAGCATCATATTGCGCTATTGTTAATTAGAAATAATTAAGCGTAGACTTTAATCAGAATAATATATACTTGTTTATCACCTACCTTGCAAGACATTATTTACGCATATCCTTGTGGCATTTAATATGTTCCCTGTTTAATACCAATTAAAAGATTTTAATTTGTCAATAGGTACTCTTTCTTTTTAATAATAAATGAGATTACCTTGGATATAGCTGTTGCCGTAGACTTTTGTTAAACTTGATTGACTACCTGAAACAATAACAACTTGTCAAATTACCTGAAATGATAACTTAAAATATTTTTGTGTCACATCTATGTTAATATATATAATTATTTAGTAGGCAATTTAATAATAACTATTTTTATTAAAGAGCAGAATGAATTAAAAATGCGTAATAACAATGAAGAAATATATTTTTCACTGACCACAACTGATTGCACCTTGGATGGAACTTGCTATAGAAGTTCTTGCTATGTTCATTACGCTTCTGGCTAGGGCATTCATGATTAGCTTTCAATCATTAACAATCTTCTCATACAATAAACTCAACTTGTTTAAGTGTTTTTTAATCTATAATAAGACAGGTTAAAACACAACACCGGAAAATATAACCTAACCTAACCTAACTTTATCACAATCTTATTGTTGTTGACTTTCTTCTGCCTAGCAGCGCCAAATTGAACTACATATTGACGTCGTAGATAAAGTAGAAATTCTATTTGCCTGCTTGAGGACTTTAGCCATCTCTTGGATGTCTTCACAATGTCTTTCTTCGGACTTTTGAACTCCGAAAATTTTTCTGTTTTTTTCAAACAGAGAAAATTTTAAAATAAATTTAAAATAGATAAAAAATAAATATATTTAGCTTAAATTACACAAATTTGGTTATTACTCTTTAAATAAAAAAATTTCTATTGTAACAAGACAGTATCTGTTGTAACAAAAGGCCATGAAGAAAAAGACACTTGAGTTATTAAAAAATACAAAATTTATTTAGAAATCGCAAAATACAAAACTCGAAGACTAATAGGTAAAAAAGGAATGAGGGACCGGTAGCAAAAACCAAAGGATCATGTTGACGTATTTCACAACATCAGTTAATACTGTTCGCGTCTTCACAATGCGTGACCATAACCGGTACCGTAGCCAGCAGCACCGAGACCATATCCCAATCCTGTCGCGCCGTATCCAAGACCCGCTGCTCCGTATCCGAGTCCTCTCGCTCCGTATCCGAGATTCGCGCCGTATCCTATTCCCCCGTAACCTATTCCTCCGTGTCCTCCTCCTAATCCAGCGTTATATCCGAGTCCTCCGTATCCTCCTCCTAAGCCGTAATTTAAACCACCTAAACCACCAGCACCAAGACGATATGACGAGTACAAAGGTGCGCCATAATTTTGGGAGTAAGTTGAAATACCGTGGCCCAACGCACCACCGAGATAACCACCATAGCCTGAAATTAAAAAGACCTTTTACTGCCTGACCTTTGAAAAAAAAAAACTTTTCAAAAAGATTAATGATGTGTCGATGATGTAAGAACAGAAAAGTTGCGCGCAACCATTCAAAAATTTACACAACGCACCTCCAGTTCCCAAACCACCTTGAAGTCCGTTGAGACCTCCATAACCCAACCCCAGGACACCTCTTTTATCCTGTCTCTTTGCGGCAGTGGTTTCCTGACCATAAATGGGCAGTGCCACACTGAGAATGGTCAATAGAAGCTGTGAACAATTTACAATTCACTTTCTCATCCGGCGAGGACTATTCACAATTGAAAATGTGTACAAACAAACTGGATCATCGATTATTTTCAATTATTGGATTACGTGCGGTAAAAATACGTAAGAAACATGAAGGAAACCGGATATTAGAAATTGTATAATACAGAAAAGGTAAATCCAACGCTAGATTTGTGAGTTTCTTGAAATTTTTGATCTTAAAGAGATGGACTCGAATCGCACTTACTATGGCGTTCATGGCGACAACGATGATACGGCGATGCGGAGATCACTGTTGAAACTGATGCAGACTCTAGGAGACACACCCCCTTTTATACCGGTGGAGTCTTTTCTCACAGTATTACAAATCTCACCGAGACGAATTACATGTGTGTATACGTATCGTACACCTACGTGATACTTGCCCACTCATACAGACGAGACACAAGAGTAGTTAACGGAGCCATGGTGGAAGTAGAGGTACACGCGTGGCTAATACACGCCTTTCTAAAATGATTTTTCTCGCGCACTCGTCACGAAAATTCTTTGTTATCGGGTGATCGACATCGACGTCATTTGCGTCGGTGAGAATTAAAAGTCGATCAATCACTAGAAGGAGAGAAGTGCAAATGTAAGTAAGTCTCTGATAAAATCCTGTTCTTTTTTTCGCGTTTAGATCGAACTTCATTTTTTCTATGCTATAAAATAAAAACTTTGATTTTTTTAATCGCAAAATAATAATATATTGAATAATATATTATACAGTTAAAGAGTTTTCTATTTCTTTTAAATATATCTATAAATTGTTGCTTAAAATTAATTAACAGTCGTACAATTCAATTCTTATAAACATACAAGAAAGAAATTGCATTGCATCTTCAACACATCTGCTACTACGCATCATACTGAAAGAAGATGTGCATTACGTAGAAGCTTTTTTCGCTCTAAATACGCAACAATGCGCGACCCCATCAGGAGATATTCATCTCCTGACCTACTAATATGATACAGCTTGACATGCTTTTTCCGTACTTCTTAAATTTCATCCATGACAAAACTTTCACTGTTGTACAGCTCTACTCAGGTTTTCGATTGCAGCGTTACGTAAAAACACGGAGACACATTTTTCTATTCAGTTTGCCTCTTGTACTTCCTTTCTGTACCAATATATTACGTTACACATACACACATATATGTGTGTATATACATATATATATATATATATATATATATATATATATGTGTGTGTGTGTGTGTGTGTGTGTTTTATATATGTACATATGTAACATATAATATATATATTTTCTATATACATGTATATATTCCACTATTTTTTTTATCAAAATACATATTAGTATAAATTTTCGAACAGTACTGAAAAACTTAACGACGGTGATCATTGTTATGACCGCTTATTGTCTAAGTACAAATGTTATCTTCCTCTTACTGCATATATCACGCCTGCACTTGGAATAATTACCATTTCACAAACGGACTGCCATAAACTCGATTCGACAATAAGCGGTTATTAAAGTGATAAAAAGTGCCAAAAGGATCGTTAATCACGGAAAAGGGGGCAAGAGATACACCATCGGAGCCTTCGAAAGGGCCACTGAGTCCGGGTATTACGTCAGCGCGCAACAGGTTTAATGGTATATCGATGCACGTCATACAATAATAAAGCACGTCATATCGCTGATTTTCTGCGGGGAAGAGGAGAAAGGTATATATCTCATCAAAGGTCGGCTGTTATGCAAGAGCACAATGAAGGGGTTGCGCCGGCACACCCCGTTTGACCAACCGCGACCACGCGAGAAATTGCGGATATCGACACGGAATCGACACGAATCGAGATCGAACTCATTGTGAGTGAGCGATACAGTAGCGATAACAAAGAAGGGGGAATATATATTTTATTAGTAAACGTTTTTAACATTTTTTTCCATGATTCTTTTCTAGAATATGTTTTGTTATTTTTTATGTGAGTTACACTTTATCTGATACACGGAATAATAATTTTCGTTAAGTCTAAATAAAGAAATACATATTATATATGTATAAATCACGAAAATTTTTTACTGTTAACAATTTACGGGCTGTTTTAGCTCTTCAGACCTCAAAAATGATAACGAGTTAGTCAGACCGGGTCTGTGAGACCTACGCGACTTTAAAATTGAATATCTCCGTAAGAAATCAATATTTTTTAATTTTTTTTTTAATTGAAAGTTTGAACACTTCTGCGTTAATAAAAAGTCAAATTAAAAACATTGTAGTAATTTTGAAGATATAAGCGTTTAAAATAAACTAATTTTTTCTAGAAACGCCGGTGGGTCTGGGAGATCCACGTCTGATTACGATAGTTAAACCAAACTATCTTGTAGTACAGCCAGTTGTTTTTCTGCAGCTAAATATGAAATAAAAACATCTAAATGAACTTCAATATATATATTATATGTATATTCTGCTTTTAAGCTTAAAAATGCCTAAACTCTCATTATAAATACAAACACGATCAATTAACATTTGGATACGAAAACGCGACTATACTCGTGACCGGCTTGTAAAATGTTAATTATAGTGAATTCATATACTTAATAAAAAAAACTCGAAGCTTTGTTTATTAAAAAAAAATCATTGCAACAATGCGCGCAAATTAGAAAAACGTGGCTGCGGGTAATATATATTATTAATCATAATTTTATTATTAATAATAAAAAAGAAAACACCAAAAAAATAGAAATGAGAAAAAAACGAAAAAATGATGATAATACTTTGATCGATCATTTTATGCTTTTTATATCAACTGTTAGTAAATGTATAAAAGCTGCGTGTGGACATTAGCTATAGATGGCGGAAATGGTTGCAGTTTTTCACTTTCTGTGAACATGTGAGTACATAACCTCTCGATTTGTTTTGTGTTGTTTTGTGTTAAACCAATTATAAAAAAAATTACTTAGAATGGCGTATGGACTATCTTGAGTCGGTCCTTTGAGCCACATATGCACCAAACCTATAAAAAAATTAAACATTTACAGTAATTAAACGTACAAATGCTTTGCAACACAATATAATAATTCACAAACAGATTCAATTATGATAACAATGTTTAAATACATTTTACACGTAACACATATACAAAGTAGTAGGAGATATTCAACAAAGACTAATAAAATAAAAAAATTGATGAAAGAATATAAATCAGTGTTTGGTGAATTAGTGGAAACAAGTGCGCAAAAGAAAAAGAGGTTGAAATTAGAGAAGAAAGGTGTTATTCCCAGGTTACAATCAAATAACGTAGATTCAGAACTGTTTTGGATTAAAGAAAATATTAGCAACAATCTCAAAAGAATTAACAGGATACAAGATAAATCATTAAATTATTATGATTCGTCACCAATCACAAATAATATTACTAATTACAATGAAACAGGTGTAACAAAAGTTTTATATACTGACCAAAGCACAGATGATAGTAATGTTCAAAATGATGCATCATTATCAAGTGTAAGTTTATCTAACACGAAAAAGCAGGATACAAGACTCGATGCATCTCTTAAATCTAAAAAAAGATTACCTAATATCATCATAAAGAATATGCTAACTTTTCCAATTATAAGCAATAAACAAGAATTTTTAGCAGAATCAACAGAAGTGCTTTCTTTATCTGGAAAGGATGATCCAGAAACAATAGGATTTCCTAGCGTAACTAAAATCTTAACACAAACTATGTCACCAGAGTCAAAGCTGGCTCTAGAAATATGGAAAGAAAAACTAATAAGCAAGCTTGGAAAAGAAGGATTTGAAATGCATCAGAAAGGTATTTAACGCGTGCCGTCCTACAAAACTTTAATAAGTGCGAAAACAAATCTTTAATTACTTCTGGTGTTCTCAGCATTGTTAGAGGATGGAAAATCTTTGCATTCATGCATAGCACAGAGTTTGCTTGGAAAAGAGTACGAAGTTCCTCCAAGAATCGAACCGATTTTCCAAAGTGTTCGGAGTGTTTTAGAAGACGTGAATCACGTGAAAGCGATTGAGACGCACGTCGCTCACACCAAGTTGCACTACAAAGGCGTTATCGACTGCGTTGCCTCTTATAGGTAAAAGAGAAAGTACATTTATCATCGTTAGGAAATTATGGTATTTGTAAATCAGAGATTGCTTGGTAAACGCAATTGATTTTTTTGTTAAAATTTTTTGAACAATAAACATTTTACAAGTTCTGCACACATTTCGTAAATTTTCATGTTGAACTCACAGGGGCAATCCTTACATAATCGATTGGAAGAAATCAGACAGGCAGAAATCAAACTTGAAAGAAACCTACGATGCGCCTGTGCAAATCGCCGCGTATATAGGTGCTGTTAATGCTTCCAATCTGTATCCCTTTGTGGTAATTGTTTTTTTTTAAATAATAACACTTTATATGTAAAATAGATAAAAATTTCAGTACATAAAAACACTTTGTATATTCGAATTATCTCATAATTTATTAGCCATAATTCGCTCATCCCTCAAAAATGATTTTTCGTAATTGTTCTTGTATTGCATTTTCTTGTGTCGCATTTGCACCGATTGACCGTATCTCTTGATCTCTCAGATAAAACGCGGATTGCTCGTGATTGCCTACACATGTGGCGCACCAGCAAGTGTGTACGAGGTGTGCGACAACACGTTGAAGCAATATTGGACAATATGGCTGAGTCGTCTGCAGAAATACTACGTCGAAACGAGGGACAATAGCAATAAGAGCACCGGCTAATAAAACACTAATGCACCGGCGCGCCGCGTATATTCATTAAAACTTTCCCACACAAAGCCAATTAAATCCTTATCCGTCAGCCACAGGTAACTCCCTACAGAAGAGAGTGAGAGTGAGAGTGAGAGTGAGAGTGAGAATGAAAGAGAGAAAGAGAGAAGGGAGAGAGAGAGAGGAGAACAGAAGCCAGAAGAAGTTTTTAATTTTATCCCTAGCGCGTCAGAAGCTGCAATAATCTATAGTCTTCGGGGAATAGTTGGAGGAGCCCTCTTCCTACTCACACCGAGAGATGGAGAAAACCGGAGGAAACAGCAAGCGGAAAACCGCGTCGATACGGTGACTCATTAAGCCTTGCGGCGGGCCTGACATTTATGATTTATGAGAATTTTAATGTGTGCATTTTCTAAACGGTCGAAATAATAGCTGTTGTAAAAGTGAAGAAAGTAAAAAAAACTAGTTATATATATGTGTATTTAAAATTGAGTGTTGTAAAATAAAATTGTGATTTAAACTTTAATAATATTAAGGTTTGTTTATTGTTTTTTTACTGCCTTATTTTTAGAAAACTTTTTTGTTATTCTTTTATGACAAAAGACAGAGACTGAGATAAAAGCGTGTCGTAAAAACGCGGTCACAATTTCTGTCGTCACGTTTAACATACAGCAATTATAACTTTCTGCCGAGTGTTCTGAAAGGGGTGTTACGTTACGCATCTCTCTCTGTTACGGGGTCCCATAAACATCGCGCCCAACCCTCTGTGCGCCCATGGGGATCGTAAACTAATGGTGAAGCGATGTAGCGGAATTATATCGTTCGTTGTGTTTCTGCATACCTGGATCACATACAGAGACAGAGAATATCAGGCTAGGATATCAGATATTGCGAACCGCATCCTTTACGTCCCGATGCTATTTGCGTCGTACATGCGGCAGTATCAGTTTCGATAACGTTGTATATGTACGCACAGTACATGTACGTTATCATCTTAACGAGATTTCCTCGAAATTTCCGTTTCTGTTTTTTTCCATACTTCAGCACTCTCTCGTGGCCACGATGTTTATCTTCGTGTTGTGAAATGTTCACAACACAGGCGTCGAGTTTCGCGAGATATTGTACCCACCGGATATTAAATTTAGATTCCTTCGTATTTACACAGAAACAACTAAACTATCACACAGCAATAGAATTACTTTATTAAAATTGAAAAAGACAATTGGAAATTAAAAATATAAGTACATATGAGAGTTTGCCAGTATCAGAAATACGAGTTTATATTGACACAATATCGGCAGGAAACTATCAAGAAATATATATAATACTAACAGTTTTGTTCGTTCAATATCGTTTTCACATTGTTTAATGATACTGATGATGATTTGTTGATATTGACGTGATATTGACGATTGTTTTGATTCGCTATGCTTGGTAAAACGATATTAGATCGGTAGTAGTATTAGAAACGCGTAACAAAATTTTAAAATATTGTTCTTATGTATATCTCCTGTATCATTACTATGCCGGTATCAGTAACTCGTGCCGAGCGACACTTCCGACAAACACAAATTGAGTTTTGAGATCGCGTTTGGGACTTGGTAATTGTTTCGCGTCGGAGGTGCCGTCCGGAACGAGTTACCGGTATCAGGATAATATAGGTACACAATACTGACGCTATGTTAAATTCCAGTACCGATGCAATGATCAGTACTGCACTTGACTTTATTATTCTAGTATTTTACCGATTCGATATTGATGGCCAGTATCCGGCTAGTATCGATCGCCAGTACTGCGTCATTTATTTATTTAAAATCTCTTCAAAGAGATCCCACTAGATACTTTTAAAATAGAAAAAAATTATAAATTGGTCTCTAAGTATAATAAATGCTTACGAAGATATCTTGGCTATTGAAATATTTATTTATTATTCTCTCTGTATGATAGGTTATTATATGTTTTGTCTCTTTTTAGTTTGCTAACAATGGTTCTGTACACTTCACGGAATCCACATTTTCAAGTAATGTGGTGTTTTATATTAAAGAATTCCTCTATTAATGTGCACAAAGCAGGCGCACAATTATGGTTTTCTTCACTTTTCAAGAAATAAACGTTCTCGTTATATTATACATCATGCTATATCTATTTTCTTACGTCAGTTTTTTTTTTTTTTTTTGCAGAAATAAACAAACCGACAACAATAGCTGCGTTACAACATTGTTCCTTCCCTGCACTTTTTAAATATAATACTTTTACTTTTCCTGCATCCAATGAATAAAAATTTATTAGAAAAAAAAGTAATTCACACACACACACACAGAGATGCATTAATATAAATATATAAGTTGGTTAAGATGTTAGAAAAACTGATTTACATGTTTGTTTTTAAAATATCGCTAGAAAGTTACTGCGATTCACATAAAACACACTTGAGCGAAAATAATGAATGGCGAAATAATCGCATAGTCGTAGCATAAAACCAATGACGTTGGCTCAACGCAAACGTCGTTACGACGAGTTTCTTTCTCCGAGTTTTTCCCTTCTACTGAGCGCCAGATCAAGAGAGCAAAGAGCCCACCGTGCCGTAATCAGTTTTCGTAATGCGAGATAACGCTACAAAGTGAAATTTAGTGCAGGACGCAGGATTATCCGTTGCCGCCGCCGAGAATTCTGTTGCTTCTGCGCGCTACTCTCTCCGTTTCGCGTGTCCTATTGGAAATCCCGCGCAAAGACAACCATATTTCCGGATTAGACATTTAGCGTGCGTCTCTTCCCCAGATGACTCTAAATCTCTCGGCTAAACCTCCGCTAATCCTCCGGTAACAGCGGCATATTTTCATCGGCCGGACCACCCTTACTTCGAGCGCGGAGAATTATGAAAATGGCAACTTTAACTTCGTCGGACGCACCCTCCCACTTTTCTTTCGCATCTCCCCCGTTCTCTTTCTAGAACGCGCGCGGAACCCGAGAAAAACTCGGGAAAGCAAATGTGACGCGGTAACTATCAAACTCGCAATTTATCGAAGTTTGACCTTCAAGCTGGACGCCCTTCGAGCAATTTCTTATATTCCCTGTCCCCTTAACGCACAGCGACGAGCGGAGGCGGAGCTCATCAAGTAGATATACTCTCAGATAATAAAATCCAATTTATCACTCGACCGAAAGTCCTGTGCGTTATGTAAATTTCGTACGTTACATCCTCGACGATATTTTGTCAGAACGCGTTGTGTTAAAAATACGCCGCTTTTGCAATATTTCTTTCTCCCTCATAAAAATCCACTTTTTCTTAACCGCAAAACTAAATCGGAACCAGTCGCGAAATTGTTTTCCGCAATAAAGCCGTCGTAAATCTTCCGTTAATAACTGGTTGAGAGTAAGCCGCTCGAAACTTTTCAACGCGGTATAACAAATCTCCAGAAGCGTAAGCGCGTCACTGAGAGATCGCGATAGCTCAGCTAAAGTCGTCGGCGAGCAAACTGGAGCACGTCCGAAATTACGAAGTTTTCATCATCGTCGACGTCGTGAAGTCGATGCTCCTTGACGTCGATATCCTTCGAAGGAAGTTTCGGTCCGCTCTTGTGGCGTCCGACCGCGGCGAGTGCTTTCGCGGCGAAAAGTTTATAAATACAAAGAAGAGGGTTCGATGGTTTGGGAGGAGAAAGAGGGAGGGAAAAATCGACAAGCGCGATGATAAAGGCGAAGCCACGTCCATAGAGCCGAATTAATCCTCTCTGGGAGGCGAGCGGTGCGCGCGGCTCGTCGTGCATGAATTATCGATCGTTGGTCCGCCTCGCGACGACGGTCACGCTACGTTTGCCCTCCAATAATAATTAATAATCAAGCGAAGCGAAGCGTCTCAGGGCCAATCTACAAAGGACCGGATTACACGCGAGACGGAAAACCACGTCGCGCAAAGCGCCACGCCGAGCAACAGCGGTCTTGCAAAAGCAGGAAATTGTTCTTTTTTACCTCTCTCTCTTCTTGTACTTCACGTCGCAATTTTGAGGGGTCAGATCACAACAGTTGCGAACAGAGAGACGTATCAATTAATAAATAAGACTTATTTTTTTTTGCGAGTGTATGCGAAGTCACAAATAATTATAAATTGTTTTTTTAATAATTGCACCGCTGCATCTGTTCTTTAGTGTTAAATTCCAAAGGTCTAATTATAAATTGTAGAATTCAGCTTTGCATACATTCGAAAAAAAAAGTATGGACTTAATTTTTTTGCGAATATATGCAAAGAGTCGCAAATAATTATATGCATTGTTTTAAACAGTAGCGACGCTGGTATTTGTTTTTTACTACTATCTAATTATAATTTAGAATATAATTTAGAATTCATTTACAAAAGAGATGTGTTATTTTTTATCATTTTTAATAGATATATATATACGTTGTACTTTGTTTTACGGGCAAAAAACGGCCTTCACACGCTGTTGCACAATAATAACAAGAAATAACGTGCTGTTTCTACAAAATAACCATCGTTTCGTAAACAATGTGCCCGGCCGGTTTACGCACTCACAGAGGCGCTTATGTATGTAGCACGTTTCCAACGCGGTTTCTCTTTGGGGACTTGCTCAGGTGTGCACCTGCGACCAATTAGGGAGCGCGCATTAAAAGCGATTCAAACTGCGTCCTAAAGCACAACGTCGTGTAATCGCCTTTCGCTATTGTTGGCTCCCATAGAACGCGTGTGCGTACAATAACGCGGCATTTTGACGAGATCGATAAAGACAGACGCACGTAGAGCATCTATTAAGTCTATCTTAGTAAACTTGGTTCCTTAACAAAATTATACGTTTGTAAAATAGGAAGCGTTTCATTTTACAATATCAATAATTTTCTTTGTACAATAAAAAATATACAATAATTTACTTAAAAACTGTAATAACATAAAAAGTACATCTGATTTTAAGATAAACGAAATTCGTATGAATTTGTGTGAGTTTCTTCATTTAGAATCTTGAGCTTAAGTAGTTTGTAACATTCACAGTTGCTTTTTAAGCGCGTGCAAATTTTGAAAAAATAAATTTCACTCAAAACATCCAGCGAGAAAAGTTTTTCAAATTAAAACACAACGCAAATCTGATTTCATGAAATATTTTCCACGGTATTCGCCAAAAAAACTCGCATTATTTTCTCGTAGTTTTGGATCCTAAACAAAACGCTGTAAAACTCGGTAAAACTCCTGGAAAGCGCGCCGATTAAATGCCGGGCGTGAAAAGGATGTCAGGATGCAAGTAGTTTTCCCGTGTGTGTCGTTGAATTCGCATATTATCGTGGTGCTTTCGCGGGCCTGTGTCGTATAGAACTCGAGGGCGTATAAACCGGGCGTTGTGTTCGTCGTCGGGCGCAATACGTCATCGAGCCGGCTCGCGAGCAATTTCACGGGAGCGCTATATCTCACCGGGGGGAGGAAAACTCCCCGGCAGCTGTATATTGCAAAATCGGCGAGAGATCTGCCGCAAGCTTGAAAATATA